AATTTTACTTTTTTTCCAGTCTCATAAATTCCTAGCTGCCTTTGTCATTTCCTTAAATGATAGTTTGCATATATGCAGAAGTGATAATAAACCATCCTTTTCATTGTTTCTGAAGGCTTTGCTAACCTGTTAATTCTTTTGGCCTATCTGAAACTAATAATGTTTGAACTGTGTCCTCAAAAGTAATCCACAACAACTTGATCTTTTCCTGAATTGCAGTTAGGAGTCCATCGTTCTCATCTCAAACATTTTGATCTTTATACTCTAAAAATTAAAGATATTTTGTTTATATGTGCTCTATCTATCCAAACTTACTTATTTAGAAATCAAAACTAAGAAAATTGTGAAACATGGGCACCCATCCCATTAGGCACTAGAGCAGCAATATAAGTACAGGACCTGTGCATTCTGTAAAAATCTGTATATTCAGAGAGAATGAGAGAAGTCACTTGACCTCTTAATGTCATTGACCTCATGGACTCCCTGAAAGGGCTTTGGGGATCCTTGAACCAATTTTAAGAAATGCTGCTTTATATAAAACTTGAATTTTATTGTTTAAGGCATTAAATTTTATAGACCATTCTTTGTACACTAAGAAAATCTCTGAGGTCTACTTGGCATTTTGATTATCAGGTAGTTGTCTTTAGTAGCTTTGGTTTTTTTCCCAAATCATGGCAGTATGTTCAATGCTCTCTGCATGTTCAGCACTATACCCACACAGGGAAGATCAAGTAAGTGAGGGCAAGGAGGTTCAGGGTATTATTCCCTTTTTGACTTAGAGTTTTCACTGTGTACTCCCATTGACAATTGCATTTCATTTTTAATATGATTAGTTGAGTTTCAGCTCTGAGCTTTTCTCTGAAACGTTTTACTTTTTACTGGTTTTTGTATTCTTTTAAAGAAGCCATGGTGCTTTTACCTAGTATTATGTAGTTTTATTCAGTGTTTTTCTTTTCAGTTAATTCATCCATTCTGCTTGGGGTTTTGTTTTATATTGTTTTTTAAACATTTTTATTGAGCTCAGAGAGTAAGGAAGAGGGTCAGAGGGAGGGAGAGAAACATCAATAATGAGAGAGAATCATTGATCAGCTGCCTCCTGCATGCCCCCTACTGGGGATGGAGCCCACCATCTGGGCATGTGCCCTTGACCAGAATTGAACCTGGGACCCTTCCAGTTCATAGGCTGACTCTATCCACTGAGCCAAACTGGCTAGGACTGTTTTGTTTTAATTATTCAAGTTATAGCTTTTTTACTTTAATTTTTTTGTCAGTATTATCCAAATTAAAGGAAGTACTGAGATTTTCATTCTTACAAACAGAATGCCTGCCTGCATCATTAGTAGACACTTGATTGAATACAAACATCATTTATACTTTCAGTTTGGCCTTCATAAGATGTAGAGCAAGGATAACCAAACAAAGGCTTTTATTGATACTTAACCTTTTTATCATACAACTTGCTTCTCAGGATTAGTGATGTTTAAAAACAAATAGAACTTTATATTTGGCTACATTCATGTCGGTTGGTGGTCTCTTTTTTAATCTCTTCAAAAATAATTTTTGTCAGCTATTCCTTGAGAGAGAGCGAGCAGCCCAGTTGGCAGAAAGTAAAACAGATGAATTGATCAAAGATACTCCCACCACTCAGCATGATAAGAGTGGAGAGTGGCAAGAAACAAGTGGAGAAATACAGTGGGTATCAACAGAAAAGACTGATGGTGCAGAAGAGAGACATAAGAAGGAGGAGGAAGAGGAAGAACTTGACCTCAATAAAGGTACATTTATTTTGAGTGTAATCACATGGAAAATTCAACGATGGCTTATTTTTTCTCCAGAACATACTTTTAATTCATGTGTTGTCATGATCTTTTATTTAATCTACTTCGTGGCCTCTCTAGTTCAGTGCACACAGCTTTGCTGTCTCAGTGCTCACAGGAGTTGGTTGGCACACCAGAGAGGAGGAAAGTTGCCTTTCCTTCCGGGGCCAGCCTTACTTCTCTGTAAAGAGAAGCAGCTGAACAATGTGGCCACTAAAAGTTTTTAGTTTTGAAACTTTGAGATTCTTTTATCATTCTCCCTTTATGTACTGAGGTCTGTTGTCATAAATTACAGTTATCATTCTCAAATGGTATATGTAGTTAGTGGCAAACACAGTAAGGAATATACTGAAGTTAATGGCTTCACTAATCAAACATTATCTAATGTTGTCAGGAACTGTGATACTTGATTCATGCAAATTCTGCAAAATAGCCACTTGTTACTTCGTGTCACTCAAGTTATAAAATTTAAGTAATATGTTCATCTTCACCCAGCTAGGAAGCAAGCACCAGCAGTGTTTGGTTCTGAGTCTACTCTCTCTCTTGGTGCCCATGCTCTCCAAATCTAATGTCGTTAGTTCTGATATTGTAAGAAATCTGTTTTATTTTCTCATTTACTAATTTTGATGTTTCCTTTGGCATAACAGTTTTTATTGCTTAGCAGCCTTTTTATTTATTTCTTATTTTTTTTAAATATATTTTTATTGATTTCAGAGAGGAAGGGAGAGGGAGATAGAAACATCAGAGATGAAAGAGAATCATTGATTGGGGATCAAGCCCACAGCCCGGGCATGTGCCCTTGACTGGAATCAAACCCGGGACCTTCAGTCCGCAGACCGACACTATCCACTGAGCCAAACCAGAGAGGCACTTAGCAGTCTTTTTAAATAATTGCTTTATTTGGGATAAATACTTGCTTGTGAGGGCTGCCATAACAAAGTAACATAAACTCGGTGGCTTAAACAATAGGATTTATTTCCTCACAGTTCTGGAGGCTGAAGCCCAAGATCAAGGTGCCTTCTGAGGCCTCTCTTTTCTGGTTTTTAGATGATCAATGTCTCCCTATGTCTTTCTGATCTTCCCTCTGTATATGTTTTGTTTTAATTTCTCCTTATGTGGACAGTAGTCATATTAGATGGGCCCACCCTAATGACCTCATTTAAATTAGCTACGTTTAAACTAAACACCCTATTTCCAAGTGCAGTCATATCCCCAGGTCAACATATAAATTGGGAGGGGGATATAAGTTAGCCCCATAACAAGGTAAATTCAACCTTTTAAAGTAAACAATTGATTAGCTTTCAATATATTCACAAGGTTGTGTAGGCATCATCATGGTCTAACTTTACAACATTTTCATCACCTCCCTACCCCCGCCAAGAAATCCTATACCTACAAACAGCAATTACCCCTTACTCTCCACTCCATGGCCACTGGAAATTATTAATCTATTTTTGTCTCTGGATTTGCCTATCCAATTCTGGACATTACATATGAATGGAATCATACAATATGGCCCTTTGTTACTGGTTTCTTCCACTTAGCATGTTTTAGTGGTCATCCATGTCATAGCATGTGCCAGTACTTAATTAATTTTTATTTTTGTATTCATTCATCATCCCTCACCTGAGCATATTTTTCCATTGATTTTTAGAGAGAGTGGAAGGGATGGGGAGGACAGAAAGAGAGAGAAAATTGATGTGAGAGAAAGACAGCGATTGGTTGCCTCTCCCACATGCACCTTGACCAGGGCCAGCAATTGAGCCTGCAACCTAGATATGTGCCCTTGACAGAAATCGAACCTGGGACCTTTCAGTCCCCAGGCTGACACTGCATTCACTGAGCCAAACCTGCTAGGACCCTAATTCATTTTTATAGACAAATAATATTTCATTGTATGTATATACCACATTTTGTTCATCTAGTTGTCAGGTTTCTTTTTCTCTGAATATTCTTTAGTTTTATTAACTTTTTGTAAAAATAGAGAATTGCATTTTATTAGAATATTTATACACATTTATTGCTGGGGTCCAGCCCCAGCAGGTCCAGGGGTTCCCAAAGGTGTGGACGGAGTCGGCGAAGAAGGAATGACATGGAGAGAGCGTTCAGTTGATCAGCATAGCAAGGTTCTCTCCAGGTTCTCCAGCCAAGTTCTATCCAGGATCTCCAGCCAGGTTCTGTGTGTTATTGACTTGTTACATCTGTAAAACACTTAGCGCCAAGAAGGTGAGCAAACGTATTAAGAACAGTATGCCATATACACCAGGTCCCTTGAAACATATGCTGTGCAGATGTTTCTTCCCTGCAGTGACTGTGTCAAGCAGCAAGGATGGACCGACTTCCGGCAAATTCCCCCTTTTATTTTTTAAATGATAGCGCATGTAAATCAGCGGCCACCTCTTGGATTGGGCTGTTTAAGACTTGGAAGAAGACTGACAAGCAGTGATAGCGAGCGTAGCTATAAACATAGTGGATGGAGTGCACAAAGAGCCTTGTTCCTGTAGAAGGTTGCTGGCTTCTTCAGTCAAGGGATTTTGGCTGTCCTCAAGTCGGGGGTTTGGTTGTACTTGTTGATCTGGCTAGCAGGCGGCATCATCGGTGATGGGCTTCCCGAAGTGTCAGCGCATTGAACAGCTGGATCAAAGGGTCCATCAAGGCTGCGCTTGATGGTGGTGTGGGCGTCTGGGGAGGAGTTAGCTGTGCCCTCTGGTTCGGCTGATATGGATGATACCGGGGAGGAGGAGGAGGAGGCGGAGATGGAGGGTAGTAGAGAGAAAAAGAAGAGAAAGCAAAAGAACTACAAGGCATGGAAGTGTTTAGAAAAAAGAGGGAGAAGAACGGGAAGAAGGCAGCATCCTGACACAGCCCTTTCCTTCAGCTGCCCCTTTCCCTGTGATCCAAGGTAGAAATGGGGAACAAGTCCTGTTTTAGTGAGAGGGCAGCTGCTGTCAGCCAGTCTCTGTCTTTACCTGGGTCCCGATCTGAGCTGGGCATGGGAAGCGAAGCAGCCATGGAGGCGGGAGACCTCCCTCAGAAGGGGTGAGGGTTCAGACCTCTGCAAAGTTGGGGGGGTGAGGGTCTGTGCCCCACCTCTGTTGACCCCCAAGTTGTCTCCTGATGGCCCCTCTGCAACTGTGCCTGTCTTAGGTTGTTCCTTCCCTGAGGAATTTTACCTGTCCCTGGCTAACCAGCCATCTTCCAGGCCAAGGAGGGTGATGTGAGGTGTATTAATGAGGGAGGGGCAGTGCCCCCCTGCAAGAGGTTCAGTTCTGTCTCCTTGGTAGCCTATGCCCCCGTGGCCTCCACGCCCAGCAGCTGCCTTGGGCTCCCCTCGCCTGCAAATGGACTGTAAGAAGAGGGTCCCTCTTGACACAAGGGCAAGAGGGGCCAGTACAGGACAAGGGAGGACAGTAGGGTAGGGAGATTCTAGAAAAGGCTGTGTTCAGGAGAGAAGGAGAAAGGCCAAAGAACCAGCAAACAAGTAGTCAGATTTGAAAAAAAAGAAAAAGAAAAAAAAAGGAGGATGTGGGGCAAAGCTGGGACATATGGACAGACAAAAAGGAGGTACATGTGATCCTCCCAATGGACAGGTGGTTCCAGCTCAGGACTGCACATCTGCTGCAGACGGGCACCAGTCAGGTGTGCTAACTCAGCCTCCCAGGGGTGACGGTCTCCAGAAGGGAGGCAGAGGCTGCTCCTTCTGGAAAGATACAAAACACAACCTCTTCCCCACATCATCACCAGATCTGGTAAAACTCCTGTCTGGTTTGTGCATCCTCCTACCAGACTGAGTCGGCAGAGGCTATTGTATAGGAGGCCCGATGCCTTTTGGCTGCTGTACAACCCTCTGCATTGTATTTTTAAAAAATATTTAACACATAACATTCTTCTCTTCCTTTTTTGTTTTTATAGAAAAGGTTTATATTAATGCAATTGTCAGTTTTTCTTTTTGTGTCAAGAACTTTGATGTGTAGTCTTTTTTCTTTAGACTCAGTATGGCACATCTTCTTAATCTAAAGATCAATACAGAGTCTTCTTTTTTTGGACTCAGTATGGCACATCTTCTCAATCTAAGTTCTGTACTATCCACCCACTTACCCTACTTATCCTCTATAGGGGGGTCTGCAGCACCCTACGGTGGAGTCCTATCCATCCCGAGTGTGGGGGGGCTTACCTAAGGGGTACCTGTTCGGGCGCCATTTGATGGGGTCCAACCCCAGCAGGTCCAGGGGTTCCCAAAGGTGTGGTTGGAGTCGGCGAAGAAGGAATGACATGGAGAGAGAGAGCGTTCAGTTGATCAGCATAGCGAGGTTTTCTCCAGGTTCTCCAGCCAAGTTCTATCCAGGATCTCCAGCCAGGTTCTGTCTATCTAGTTGTCAGTTGATGGACAGTTGGGTTTGTGTCTATCTTTGGTTGTTACAAATAATGCTGCTACGAACATTCATGTACAAGTTTTTGTGTGAACATATATATTTTCAATTTTGGGGGGTATGTACCCAAGTGTGGAATTGCTAGATTATTTGTTAATTCTATGTTTAACATTTTAAGGAACTGCCAAATGGTTTTACAAAGTGGCTGCACCATTTTAATTTCCTACCAGCAGCATGTAAAGGTTTCAGTTTCTTAGAGTTATGTGTCTCTTATTTTAACAATTCGAGTGAGAGTGAAGGTGTATGTCACTTGATTTGCACTTCCCTAGTTAAGAAATGGTATTGAGCATCTTTTCACATGCTTAATGGTTATTTACATATCTTTGGGGAAATATCTATCCAAATGCCTGTGTTCTTTTGTTTTTTTGTTTTGTTTTTAAATACATTCTTATTGATTTCAATGAGGAAGGGAGAGGGAAGGAGAGAGAAACATCAATGATGAGAGAGAATCATTCATTGGCTGCCTCCTGCATCCGTCGTTGTCGTCCCCCTCCCCTCTATCCCCCACCTCCCCCGGGGATTGAGCCTGCAACTCAGACATGTGCCCTTGACCGGAAAACCTGGGACTTTTCATTCCGCAGGCTGGTGCTCTATCCACTGAGCCAAACCGGCTAGGGCCAAATGCCCATGTTTTAAATCAGTTTGTCTTTTTGCTGCACACATTCTTTATTTATTCTGGATACCTGACCCTGATCACAGGTATATGATTTGCAGATATGTTCTGAGGGTTGTCTTTTCACTTTCTTGATGGTATATGGTAACTTGAAATACAAAAGTACCTATTTTTTTATTTTATCATTTGTGGTTTTAGTGTTGAAAAAACCATTTCCTAACCTAATGTCACAAAGATTTAGTCTGTGGTTTTTGTTTGAGTTTAATCCTCACCTGAAGATACGTTTTTAATTGATTTTTAGGGAGAGAGAGAGACATCTATTGGTTGCCTCCTGTATGCACCCTGTCTGAGGATGGAATCCTCAAACTGGGTATGTGCCCTAATCAGGAATCAAATCTGTGACCTTCCAGTGTATTGGACGACACTGCAACCACTGACCCATATCGGTCAGGACTAGTCTGTTTTCTTTTAAGAGTTTTATGGCTTTAGCTCTTATATTATCTTCCATTTGAGTTACTATTTTTTGTTAATTGTGGATATCCCATTTTTCTAGCATCATTTATCAATGTTTAATAGTTTTGAAGAAAAGATAACTAACAGAGTTGTTGGATTCATGGGGTTTTATTTTTTGATATACTGTTACAGTGTTTCGTTTATTCTTAGCCCTTCAGCATGCTGGCAAACACATGGAGGATTGCATTGTGGCCTCGTACACAGCACTGCTTCTTGGTTGTCTCTGCCAGGAGAGTCCCGTAAGTAAGAGTTCATTGTTTTATGTGTATTGAAAAGATTCCATTGTGGCAGCTTCATACCATTAAACTTATATGTTACTCTATTTTTCCCCCTCATGTTAAAACTTTCAAATATGTGGTGAACTTTTAAAAAATGTTATTTTGCAATTATTGTACCAGGGGCCCGCCCAATGCACGGATTTGTGCACCGATGGGGTCTCACAATCCAGGACCCCCTCAGGGGATGTCGGATAGCCAGTTTCAGCCTAATTCCCGCAGGCCCGATCCAGACAGGAGGGAGCCCGATCCTGTGCATTGATCGTCTGTCCCCTGGTGGTCAGTGCACGTCATAGTGACTGGTCTACTGGTCGTTCAGTTGCTTAGGCTTTTGTATATATATAGATAGATTGATTCAGGTGCACAGCATGGTTAGATGATCATATACTTGACTCAGTGTTCCAATATTTCCAGTGGCCAGCTGCCACTATACAGAGTTATTCAATATTATTGACTGCATTCCCTCCTCTATACTTTATTTTTTATTTTTAGTTAATCCTCATGCGAGGATATTTTTCCTTTTTTTTGAGAGAGAGAGAAAGAGAGAGAGTAGAAGGGAGGGGGAGAGACAGAGAAGGAGAAACGTCTATGTGAGAGAGACACATTGATTGGTTGCCTCCTACATGCAACCTGACTGGGGTCGGGGATACGTGCCCTTGACTGTAATTGAACCTGGGACGCTTCAGTCACAGGCCGATGAGGCTTTCTCCACTGAGCCAAACTGGCTAGGGCCCTGTTCTATACTTTACATTCCTGTGACTATTTTGAATATTTGATGAATTTTTAAAGGTAGATTCCAACTAATAGTACATTGATTAATGAGAACATTCTTGACTAATGGATGGTGAATCGATTCACATAACTGGTTGATGTAAAAGAGAGCATAATATGAAACCCATGTTTAGCTGGCTCAAGGTGGAAGAGCCTGGCCTCAGTGATACCAAGGACTTGGCTAATTTCTGTCTTTAGACTCTCCTGTCCTCTGTATGTTGTCATTCTTTTGCCAGCTCCCCTCATGGCCCTGTGCCGACTCTAGCTGTACTGAGCAGGTAAAGGTGGTCTCTTCCTGTATATTTCTTCTTTTAAGAGCAATCCTCTAGAACCCCTTCACACCCACTACACCAACTAGACTTCCCCTCATCTTGGCCAATATTGGCCCACATGCTTTTGTTTGAACTACTCATTGGCCAGGTAAATGGGGCTACTATGTGAGATTTAGATCATTGTAATCTAACTATAAGAAGTATGAATGTCCAGACAGTTCTGTGCTGAGAAAGCACAGAAGTGGGTGGTTCTGGCCTTTGGGACAGTCTGCTTTTAGATGGGGGACACATGGAGGTTGTTGTTTTTAAATATATTTTTATTGATTTCAGAGAGGAAGGGAAAGGGAGAGAGAGAGAAACATCAATGATGAGAGCGAATCTTTGATCAGCTGCCTCCTGCACGCCTCCTACTGGGGATGCCACAACCTGGGCATATGCCGTGACCAGGGATTGAACCATGACCTCCTGCTTCATAGGTTGATGCTCAGTCACCAAGCCACACCAGCCAGGCTGTTTGTTGTTGTTTTTTATTTTGTTTTTAAGGATAGGGACCAGCAGAAGAGCCCAATTTTCAAATGAAAGGGTGATCAGGAGCCAAGAAAGAGTGGAGGTCTGTGGTGTAGTGGGAAGGTTGGCATCTCTTTTCTGAGACGGGAAGGTCAGTGATCGTGTGAAGGGCTTAATTAGGAGAGGCATTCATGCTGTGGGTCTGTCCACCCACAGACACTTTGTCATCTTTGCTATCGAGCTTTCTGTATTGCCTTCCATCCCCCACCCCCACCATGGCCATGTGTCTTAAGTCCTGTGTATTTTTCTGAATCTTTCCATGTTTATATTGTAGTCCAGCCCTGATCTAAAGCACACTAGCCCATGCTGTCATTCGTGGCCCTTACTGGCACATCTGCTTTTAGGATCAAGAGCAAATGGCTCATCATGACTCTGGAGACCCTGCCAGATCTGTATTCCCTTTCTGTGACTCTTCAGCTCAGCCCTTCCAACAAAGGGGAGGTGGATCTCAAAAAAGCAGGGGAACATACTATGTAAATTTTAGGGTGTTCTATTAAACACCCTAGTTTTAGTCATGTTCTTTCTTAAATAATGGTTCTTAAAATAACTTATTACCCTGTGTGGTTTATCTTGAAACATCTTTTCTATTTGTTTTCTCTCTCATCTCTAAAGAGTCTGCATTGTGGGGAATTTCATGAATTCATAGAGACAGATGTTGCCTAGGGGATCATTATGATTAACTGAAAAAGCTAGCTCAAATGTGAAGGAAATTGGTTGGCTGCCCCATGTGTAGGTGGGAGAGAGACAAGAAGGCAGGTAGTTGCAAATAGTAGATGCTGGTTTATGAAGGGCCTCGTGCAGAGGAAGCCCAGGAGACTTGGTATCACTGTCCATTGCCCACCAAACATCCTGTGCACGCAGGGGTCAGTCTCCTTGCTGCTCTCTGGACTCTCTCCATTTCTGAAATCTTGCACACTGCCACCATAGCTAACTTCCTTAAGAGCATATTTGATCACATAACTCCTCTTACCAATCTTCCTTGGCTCACATCATCTAAGGAATGATGACTCTGTTTACTGTGACAAGACCCCAGACTTCAAACTGCTTCTGCA